AGAGAGAGAGAGAGAGAGAGATGAAGTTGCACAGCAGCACATCCGAGTAACACCCAATAAAATTGGAGGGACATAGAGAAAGTTGGCATGGCCAATCCACAATCATGATCAATCATCATTGATTTACAAAATGACAAAGACGAAAACTACAGCCAGGCTGAGCCAGCCAAGAACCCACTCCAAAAAGTGAATGAATATTTTCGCAGCAAAACTTGCAAGTTGCAACAGAATAAAGCTTTCGTCAATAACGTCTTTACTTCACAGATACTTCGAAATAGTGACCGAAGCAAGAACCATAGTCAAGCCATTCAACGCACTCGCAGGTATATGACAAGGACAACGCCACGAGATTGGCAGCAAAAGATGAGATGTAAATAGGAGACGAAAGGGGAAAGCTGATCAAGTCATGAAGGGCATTTGACGAAAAGGGCTATTGACGAAAAGGGCATTGACGAAAAAAGACAACTTTAAAGCAAAACCAAAGACAAGCTGCTTCTAATTGAAACTTCTCTACGAATCGAATCAAATACAACCAGGGATAGGTTATCCTAACGACCTGTTTCAAAAAAAAAAAAAAAAAAAAAAAAAAAAAAAAAAACTGCAATGCGGCTTGCTGGCTTGGCGCCGAGGGATCGTCTTGTGAAGCTCTGACTGACATCATCGACCGACACTGGGGCCCCAGAGCGACAGTCTACGCGCTCTCCCTGGAGAAGGAGAAGGCTGATCAGAACGTTCCTACCTTTGGTCACACTCCATCCCGTGCGCTTTGAGAGCTTGGACGACCTGCTGGTCTCCACACCGGAGGGCAACATCGTAAGGCGTGCGGCCGTCGAAATCGCAGATGTCGAGCCTGGCCCCATGCTTGAGCAGCAGCCTTACGGCAGGCAGCTGGCAAGACGAGCACGCCACATGCAGCGCTGTCCGCCCGCCGTAGTCGAGCGCGCTTGCGTCCGCCCCGTTTTCCAGCAGATTCTCCAAGTACACGAGGTTGCCTGACCCCACCGCCTCGCACAGTGTGTTGCCCGGATAGGGAAGCGTCAGCGTGGCGCCCTTCTCTCTCAGAACTCTGATAGTTCCACGATGATTCCGAGTGACCGCCTCAAACAGAGGAGTGTGTCCAAAGCTATCGACGACATGGACCGACGCGCCTTCCTTGATTAGCAATTTGACACACGCTTCATTACCGCTGGCGGCTGCAAGATGCATCGGCGTGCGGCCGTCGTAGTTGGCGACATCAGGAGAGTAGACGGCGCGGAGGTGCTCCTGCAAGAAGAGAACGTCACCCCTCGATGCGGCTTTGCAAAGGGCGGTCGTGATCTCCTCGTCGTGCCTCGCGATGAGAGACGTGATTTCGACTGCGAGACGCCGGTTGTCCCCGGCTACCTCTTCGCCTGGTGACCTGGCTGTCATCCGTTCCAACAGATTGCTCAAAACTTGTCGGCTGTCCGTCGGATAAGCGTGAAGAAGTCTCAAGAACGATTCCTTGTCTATTCGCAGAAGACGACAAGGCGAAAGAGTCCTAACTGTGAGCGTCTGAGGTACGTTACAAAGCATAGCTACTTTACCAAAAATGTCGCCGGGATGGAGCATCGCTACTGGGTCCCGTCTACCTGTACTCGACTTCGCTTCCCTAATTAGGCAACCATCTAAGACTAAATACATGTCACCAGTCACGTCCCCTTGCATCAAGACGACACAATCGACGCGGAAAAATTCCGGCTGCAAATGCGCTGCCACTTGCGCCTTGAACAACTCGGAGCAGTTCTTGAAGAGCTCGCTCCCATCCACCGCCGCCTGATAGAGATGGCGGACGACGGAGACCCGCACGTGCCGCGGAAAGTCGTCCAAGATGTGCCTCTTCTCCTTCGCGGTCCTGCAGGTCGTGATCAGCTCGCCTCTCAGCTGCTGTTCCACGTCATAAGGCAGTTTCTCCTGCGCGGCGAAAGCACGGAGTTCCCCCAGTTTGTTGTGCAGCTCCAGGGTGTTTCTTCCCTTGACCAAAAGATCTGTCATACTGCCCAGAGCGTACGAAAGCATAAACATGCTGATGATAGCGTACAGCGCCGCGAAGATTCGCTCCTCGGAGTTGGAAGGAAGGAAATCGCCATAACCGATACTCGATAGCGTCAGAATCGCCCAGTAAATCGAGCAAAGGTACTTGAACCTGGTCGGCTGTTCGGCATAATTCGGAATTGCCTGTACGATCCAGGTGTTCTCGCGGTCGTGTTCAGACTTTACCAAGACAAGCAAGTGGAACCCGCATCCAGCCATGTGCGCTGTCAGCATGACCACAGCAAAAAGCCGAGACACTCGGACAATCGCGTAATTAAACCGAACGTCGTTTTCCATCTGAGTCCAGGTATCGAACACTTCAGGCGCACGATACAACCTCAACAAGGCGAGCACTCGGATGATGGCGATTACAACGCCGCCGGTCACCGGTTTTCCGCCTTTGCAGAGGCAGAAAATCCCTTCCCATGGAATCGACGAAAGCAAATCCAACCAGAATCTTACCGACGTTATGTAGCGTATCGCGATTTGGGAGCGATCTGTCAGCAACTCCCTCGTTTTCTCGTCCTTGACAGCGACGAAGAAGGTCAAAACCATATCAGCGATAAACAGAGAGTCAAACACAGAGTCGTACACAGCAAACTGCCAGTCGATCTTGTCTAGAAAACCCACAGCGAACGGAATGCAGACCACGGAGTACCACAGGGGAATCAGCAAGAACGATCGCCAGATGCATAATCGGCCGTCCTGCGGATGAATCGCCCGCGTTGTCTTCCTTACTCGCTCGACTTCAGACTTCACCCGCTCATCCTGCGTCAGAATGCGCGGAGAAATACGGGATTTTGCAGTGGCCGCGAAGATCGGCAGCGCGCACGTTCCGCCGCCGTTGGATCGGTAATGCGCGCCGGCGGACTCAAGATCAGATGCTGCTGCCGGCGATCTCCACCCATTGGAGGAGGAGCCGCAGGGGGTAGAACTCTGCCCCCCCCAAAATTCTTGTGCTGACCCCCCTTCCCACTCCATTACGGGGTCGGCGACCACTCCCACCCGGTCCGCCCGGTCTCCTCCGTCAATAGTCCCGACTCCGACTCCGACTCCGACTCCCATTCTGTGGTCGTTGCTATCGTCCACGTTCATCGTCGCCTTACGACCATCCCTCGAGGCAATCTGCCCAAGCACGGCAGCAATCCACGTCAAACCTCCCATACTTCACTGCAGAGTTCTGTTCCAAAAATCGCCGATTCTGTTCCAGAAGATCCCGATCCCAGCACAAGCCGTCGCTTCAGGAGCTGCTCACTACGACGATCGAGTGATGCTGGAAGAGAGGATACAAAAAATTACGACTACCGTAGGCCTCCTTTATCCCAAAAAAAAAAAAAAAAAAAAAAAAAAAAAAAAAACGATCCTTTTCGAAGTCGCTGCCTTTCAACCTACCTGCAAAGAATGAATCGGTCGGATTAATCTTCTTAGACCCATAATAATAGAGAGCTACTGGCAGCTTTGAGCCCACAGAGAGTACCCACTCAGTTTCTCCCTCCACAGCCTTGAGGAAAGAAAGCTAGGCCAGGGCCTAATTGCTCAATCAGTCCTTCGGGACATCCGCTAAAATTGGAACGATACAGAGAAGGAAGATTAGCATGGTCCCTGCCTGCGCAAGGATGACAAGCATAAATCGAGAAATGGTCTAATTGATCAATCAATTAATTACTGAAAGTGCTTACTAGTCCACAACTCTAAAACATAACCGTACCAAGTGAATAACCTATATGATCGATCAATCAAGTAATTAATTAATCAAGAAGTAATCAGTACCCTTCATGGAGCTTCCGGCGCTAATTCAAGGTGTCGTCCTTACTACGACCAACTTCTGTCTTGGCCGAAGTAGGCAATCGCACCAATACTTCTCTTCCACCAACTGCTGAAGCAATAGGGATGAGTGTCCGTGCGTGCACCGCTTACGGATCCAAAGGAGATCCCGATCCGTAGGTAAGTACGTCATCTTCTTCTTCAGATACTGTCACCTGCTGCTACGTACCCCCCTCCCCTCCCCTCCCCCCCCGCCCTCTCCGACATTGTCTGCCGCCGATCTAAGATCAAAAGAGAGATAGACCAGACCTCCTCGATTACAACACACCTCTAGATCCGTACAGCCATTGCCCAATCCCGCTCAGCACGACTTCATGTTCCTCATTCTCAGGAATCATATTCACATCAGGAGTTGTTTTCACTTCTCCCCGGATGTCATAGCGGTTAGGTGCATCCTGGCCGGGTCGGAAAAGCGATCATATACATCCGCGAAAGTGCTAGTGTGAGTACTACGCCCTCAGTCTGCGGGTCGTCTTACTGTGCTCACCGCCCCGGTGAACAAACACCAATACTGATACCGATCGCGCATCTCGGACCTGGAAGGCATCCCTGCTGCCAGCTTGCAAATTCTTGCAAATTGGCTCAGAACGCTTATCGCACGCAATGTCCAACGCTCCAAGTCGAGAGCAGCGCTACCATCCTTCCCGATCGCCCGCTCTCAACCTTCGGCCGACCAGGCCGTAGCCAACCAGGCCCAACCTCGCCTAATTCCAAGTTCTTGCGCAGGAACCGTCGGCTGGCCAAGCCATAGCCAGAAACCATAGCCAGCCTCGTCTAATTGCAGCCCATAAAAGGCCGACTGCAGCCGTCCAGTAGGCAGAATAGTGGTCTAACGAGGAGGAGGCGGCAGAGTCGCGCACAGTCGAGAGCTGCGCTACCATCTTTTACGCACTCCCACCTCCACTCCCCCTTCCATCACGCCGAAAGCTCTTAGGCGGGACCGTCGGCTGACCAGGCCATAGCCAGAAACCATAGCCAACCTCGTCTAATTCCAGCCTGTAAAAGGCCGACTGCAGCCGTCCAGTAGGCAGAATACCCGTCGAAGAAGAGGCGGCTGAGTCGAGCACAGTCGAGAGCAGCGCTACCATCTTTCACGCACTCCCCCCTCCATCACGCCGAAAGCTCTTAGGCGGGACCGCCGGCTGACCATGCTATAACCAGAAACCAGAGCCCACCTCGCCTAAGCAAAGGAGGCGGCTGAGTCGGGCACACTGCACAGTCGAGAGCAACAATATCGTCGCTCACGCACTCCCCCTTCCCTTTACCCTTTCTATCACTTGGAAAGCTCTTCCGCGGGAAGACCTACCTACCTGCATTATTTGTTAAATTTCATCGCCGCAGGAGGAGGCAGTGGAGTTGGAGCATAGTCGACATCTGCTGCATACCAAGGGCAACAGTAATGATGAGCTTACCACCTCCTCCCCCTCTCTCTCCATCCTTGCTCCCGTTCTCACCTCGGTGAATGCTCACTGCACCTGTCGATGATGATTGGACGATCCCTCAGAAGCTCCTCTCTCCCGCGAACATCCACTGCACACGAGGGGCAACAGGTGTCAGGTCAACAACCACCAGCAGGAAGAAAAAAAATGGGTCAAATATGCATCTAGTCCTTCGGGACATCTGTTAAAATCGGAAGGATATACCTTTCTCGGCCTTTTGGCTAAGATCAAGTGTAGTATCTGTTCTGATCAGTTTAATATCTGATCCGTAGTCCATCGGACCACATATAAAAAAACAAAACAAAAACAAAAACAAAAAAACTGGAAGGATACAGAGAAGATTGCATTGGCCCGCTTCCCGGCTTTTAAATGGGGAACACAGACGTATTAATAATTGACTTAACAGACTAATAACAGTAATAATAAATTAATAATACCATCTACAAACAAACACAATATACCATGAACGAACCACAGCCCCCTAGCGCCATTTAATTCCTCATTATTTATTGAAAAAAAAAAAAAAAAAACTTCGGCATTTAAGCGCACTTAGGACGACCGCTCGCCGCAACACCACACAGAGAGAGAGAGAGAGAGAGAGAGAGAGAGAGAGAGAGAGAGAGAGAGAGAGAGAGAGAGAGAGAGAGAGAGAGANGAGAGAGAGAGAGAGAGAGAGAGAGAGAGAGAGAGAGAGAGAGAGAGAGAGAATGGAGGAAGGAAGGATGATGAGAGTAAGAAGATGACCTTCCTGTCAACCACATACCTTGTCCATCTCGAGCTGTGTCCGGAGGTCTATTCAAGGTCCGATTCGAGTCCCCCGACTCTGGATTTGGAATCGATGGTAATGGAGGCAATACAATGGACCAGCGCCAACACTGATAGCCGTTGGAGATGTTTGGAGCGGGAAACCTTCCCTACCACGTCACTGCTCTCCCAAATTGTCTGCCCCTCCTACTCCCACTGCCAGTCCGGCTCCTCCAACCTTCGCCCACCGCTGCTCTCGCTCTCTATGTCCGACTTCAGCAGCTGCTGCCCGCCGACTCCCCCAGCGTCAACGACAGCCTCCTGCGGCCTTTCAGTGCAAACGCCAGCTTTCATACTTGCTTTTTTTTTTCCTTTTTCTTTTTAATCCCCCGCAGAGGAGGAGGGCTGCGCCGCGCTCTGCTTCCGTGCAACACAGAGGCGACGCTGGAGGCGTCGAGCAGGTAAGCCTACCCCTGTCGTTGTGGCGCCATGGACCACGGATCAGATCAGATAAAGACTGATCAGAATCAGATACAGTGCACTTGATCTTACAAAAGGCCGAGAAAGGTATGCTTCCCTACGTTTCTTCCTCCCACCCAGTTCTTCTGCTTCTCGTCCTCCTCCTCCCCCTCCTCCCCCTCCTCCTCCTCCTCCTCCTCCTCCTCCCCCTCCCTACCCCCGCGCTACCTCTCGTCCCCATCCCCAATTTTTTTTATTTTTTTTTTATTTTTTTTTTTTTTAATTTGGACCATTTCTCGATTTATGCGTGTCATCTTTGCGCAAGGGGCCATCCATGCTAATTACCCTTCTCTGTATCGTTCCAATTTTAACGGATGTCCCGAAGGAGCCGATCCCCAATTTACCCCAGGCGCCTCCGGAGTTTTTTTTTTTTTTTTTTTTTTTTTTTTTTTGGGAGACACCACCACCTCTCCAGTTTCCTCTCCTAACTCTGACACGGCCCATGCCTCTCTCGCTCCAGCTTCACCCCTTACCTTAGGACCTCGCCACACACACTCTCGAAAAGTGAAAACGACAAAAATATGGCGGGTGCATGTGGCCATGTTCTAGAGGGAAGTTCAATCTCATTTTTTGCACATTTCGAGAGTGGTGTGGCTATGCCCCTAATAACCACTCCATCTAACCGCGCTCCGTACCAGCTCGCCACACCACTCTCGCAATGTGAAATTATATGAGAACGAACTTCCCGCTAGAACATGGCCAGATGCACTCGCCACATTTTTGTCTTTTTCACATTTCGAGAGTGGTGTGACGAGGCCCTAACTGCTGTGATTACAATGGACGGTGCTACCAATTTACTTCTTTTTTTTTAATTACCCCCCAAAAAAGACATATGCCGTCCTCGATCACGCGCACTGACCCACAAAACAGACAGAGCAGGACAGCCCGACACACACAAAGAGGCTGCCTGCCTGCCTGCCTGCCTGGCTTGGCTGCAACATACGGCATCGCCACACCACTCTCGAAATGTGCAAAATGAGAATGAATTTCCTGCTACAACATGGCCAGATGCACCTGCCACTTTTTTGTCTTTTTCACATTTCGAGAGTGGTGTGGCGAGGCCCATACGCTGGAAGGCAATACTGTAACAGAGATTAAAAAAAAAAAAAAAAAAAAACTGTAACAGAGATGTCAGAGACAGATGTCAATCTCAAATGGCGACAATTGTCCGCCCCCGCGTTCACTCCAATCTCGGTCTCTGTCGCACCGCGTCACCACTCCAGTTGATGGGCTCTCCGCTCTCTGCCGCTCTCTACTGCTCTCTGCCGCTCTATCGGGCCCCCTGCGCCACACCGCTGTCGAAACGACAAAAGAACGAATGCATTTCCCTCAGAAAGCGGTCAGATGCACGCTTTGCTATTCATAGTGACGGTTGCATATTGCCATTCTCTGCGTGAAGATGCACTCGAACATTTTTTTGTATGTGGCCAGGCCCTTCCTCTTCTCTTTTTTTCCCAAGAATTCCTCTTTTTTTTTCAAATTACCAACCTCTTCCTCTTCCTTGATCCCACAACCCGTCCTGACAAAAAAAAAAAAAAAAAAAAAAAAAAAAAACACCGGTCCTGACTTCTGGCAGTTACTAAACTGAATTACATCACCATAATCGACTCCCCGTCTCCTAATCAGCACAGGAATCCCGTCCAAATGCATTGCCAAGTTGAATTAAACC